GCGGCGCCGGCCCCTCCCACGGCTGCCCCAGCGGGGGCACGGCGGGCTGGCCTCCGGGCGTGGCCGGCCTGGGGGTTATTGGGTAGTCATATCCGGATGGTACAAAGGTTGGTAAGACTTCTGGGTGGGTGGAGGTGTGTGGACAAAGAATTCCTCCAAATCCTGATTAAAAAACAAGCTGTTTTCCTTCCCCTATCAGTCACAGGTGCTCACAGGTGACAGGGCCTGACGGCAGAGCCCAGGTGGCCAGGCCAAGCACGCGACCGACCTGCACGCATGAGCCTCGCGCTTGTACCTGAGAGCTCTGAGGCTCGCCAGGCGCCTGCCTCGACTGACAGAACCGCCAGGTTACTCCAGCCCATGGCCACCCACTTCGCCTAGAAGACGCTCGCTGCCTGGCGGGAAAAAAGATGACACAGGACAGTCACCGAGCCAGGCCCCACTGTGGTCCCTCCAGAGTGCCTGCAGAGGGCTCCTGCAAGGGAGGGAGGAAGACAGCAGCCGTCCCTGTGAGGATGGACGAGCAGGAGCGAGTGGCATCGGCAGACTCTCCTGGGACCGGTTCCAGCTCGGCTGTGCGGTCCCCCTGCAGGGCCTGAAGACACGTGTTTCCGAGGCTCAGGGACCGCGCCAGCTTCTGGCAGCCCCCGGCCGGCCTCTCTGGGACTGGGCATCTGCATATATGGGGGTGGCAGTGGAAAAGGGAGTGGAGCAGTAACCACAGGGGCCAGTCTGTCATTGTATGTGGGGACACTGCAAAAGGAGGAGGCTCTGAAGGGTCATTCTTAGGCACTGGGGCACACGCCCAGGCTTCTGTTCCCATCCTGATGGTTAGCTCGTAACTCTCCCGTGGCTTAGACACGAACCAGAGGCCCATGTCACACCTGAATCCTCGACGTCAACGAGCAGGCTGTGTTTGGTTTAACCCTTCCTCATCTTTCACCAGAGCTCCCTGAGCTGGTCACCTTCTGCAAGGGAAGGCCTGGATGGGAGGCCGGACGTGCTGCCTGGCTGTGAGCACCCGGGGACAGGCACGCAGGCCAGAGTGCGTCTGTTTCCAGACGGGAAGGCCACCCTGCATTCTGCTGTCGCCCAGGCAGCCCTGAAGGCCCAGCGTGCAGGGCACAGAACTCGATCAGTCCAGGGCCAGGAATGACAGCTGCCTCGTGTCACCAGCCCGTTCTGCCACAGGACTGCTCACGCTGCGTGCTCTGGGCTGATTTTTAAAAAGACCCAAAGCCGCATTTGTCAAAAACAAGTAACTCGTCCAGGTTCCCAGATGCCAGCGGCACACACAGAGGATTCCAGCCCATGGCTGAAGCCACGGATGCCGTAGTCGGATGGTGGCCGGGGGAAGGCCTGCCAGCTGCGGAGCACCTACTGCCGGTCCTCGTCTCCGCACGGCTGTAAGCTTTGTGGGGAATTTACAGGATGACAACCTACAGAAGTACAGGGAACTGCCCGCCCATTCCTCCTCATGTATATATTTATACCTATTTATATTTAGTGTCCCACTGTACAAAAGTTCCTGTTCAAACACAGCAAGTACACCAGGTGGGAGATGGAGCCTGGCTGGGGAACAGCTGGGACCAGAGGGGACGGGGACAACGGAAACCTGCAAAACAACATGATTCGGTTTTGTGGAAACCATACATGATTTCGATGGGAATCCTCCTCATGTATAAATTTATACCTATTTATATTTAGTGTCCCACTGTACAAAAGTTCCTGTTCAAACACAGCAAGTACACCAGGTGGGAGATGGAGCCTGGCTGGGGAACAGCTGGGACCAGAGGGGACGGGGACAACGGAAACCTGCAAAACAACATGATTCGGTTTTGTGGAAACCATACATGATTTCGATGGGATCGAAACGGAGATTTCAAAGGTTCTCCTCGCTGGGTGGGCCCCGGTGCCCTCTCCCCGCCTGTCTGCCCACGCGGGCCGGCTGTCTGGCTCCTCTGGCGTCCGTCCTGATGGCTGGTGTTACTTGGCTGCTGCGGAGGCGGGAGGCGGGGGCACCTCGGCCTCCGGGCAGGGGCCGCTGCTGCCCTGCAGAGGAGGAGGGCAGCCGTCTGTCCGCGCCTTTGCCGAAGCGCTCCGACTTTCAGACCATGATGGAATACTGAGGTATATAGTTTCGCGGAAGTTTAAGAAACATGAGAATGCGATCGTCAGGCGGCCCGCTGGTGCCGGCCAGGGCGGCTGGGCCCGCCTACTGCTGCAGGTTGAGCGAGAACTTCCACTGCTGGGACAGCGCCGGGCCGCACACCTCCACGCTCAGCCCGCCGCTCTTGGCCGCGCGGCTGTCCAAGCACAGGTTGCTGCCCACGTGCCGCAGCTTGGAGTTGCCCTCGATCTGCTCCCATTTCTAGAAAGACAGGATAACGCCTTGTAGTGTGGGCACAGACCTGGGAGGATGGCGGAGACCCCCCGGCTCTGCAGGCTGCATTAGGACAGCTCCGACAGGCTGTGGGCTGGTTTTCTGCCTCAGTCCCACAGGATGAGCAGTGACGGCCCTGCGAGTCAGCCGGGAAGGGAGGGAGTGCTCTGCCTGGGTTCGAACCCCCCTCTGCTCCATCCTTTCTTCGGAGATCCCCTCCTCCCAGTCCTAGAGCTCTGGGCACCCACCCTTCAGCCATTAATGAAGGGACCTGACACAGGGGACTTTGCATCTATTCACACGTCCTCATTCTGTGACATTTCACCCTAGGAAAGGAGCCGCAGGAACCTGGGCTGGCCAGCTGTCACAGGCCCAGTACGCCCATGGTGTAGAAGCCAGCCCTGGCTGGTGGCCTTGGTCCAGGGACCGGATGGGTGGCCAGGCCAAACCCGGTGGGGGGAGAGGCTGGCGTGAAGGGACATCAGAGCGAGGGTCTGTTGCTATCGTAGCTCGTTTTCTGTGCGAGGGGGTGAGACGAGGGGGTGAGACGAGGGGCCCAGAACCAGCACCTGGCACGGCAGGGCCAAGACGTGCCATGTGTCTGGGGTGTGAGGGCGTGAAGAGTGCTCATACCCCAAAACTAAATCAGCCACCAAACTCGACCAACTGATCCACCCCAGCACCACCCACCTACCCACCAAACAAGCCAGAGCGAGCTCAGGGCTTATTCTGAGGACCCCACCCTGGTGGTTAGCAGGTAATATAAATATCCCCATTAAAGCAGCCCTAAGGCTTGTTCTCAAAAATAACAAAAAAAGTAACAAGTTTCTTCTCTCCCCAAAGCTCGCCCTTCATCACTGAGGCCTGTGGTTCTAATTAATTTCTTACACTGTGTGCACTGGGGCTCCTTGACGTAGGTATTTTTGCAAATCCTTTTGACACTGTGAAATTTAATTTTCTCACTCTTGCCTCCCTTTCCCCTCTGACTTCAGATGCACACATAATACGAACCCCGGATGTGCCTGGAAACCAAATATTCCAACCGACAAGACAGTGCCATTCTGGGGAAACGGGGTGAAGGAGTCTCCTGAAGGGCAGATGGAGGAGGCAGGGCCCTGGGCAGGTGGAAAGGAGCCGTGTGGAGCTTGTGGAGTGCTCCTGGGCCCAGAGGCCAGCTGCTCACCTGGGGGCTCTCCCACATGCAGTCCCCACCTTGGTCGCCCCTTCAGGCTGTCAGTCCTCCATTGTCATGCAGAGCATGCTGGGAGGCCCCCTGTCAGCTGGCTGCCAGGAACCATCTCAACAAAGGCAGAGAACAAGGACTAGATCCTGGCCCCAGGAGGGACCCTGCCTGTCATGTGTCAAAGCCTCAACTAAATGGAGGGCCTTAAAGGAAAACCACCAAACCCCGCACTGCCTCTGGGGTGGCCGCCCGCTCTGACCTATCCCAGCTGACGCAGTGAGGAGGCTGGACAGCCCCCGCACCTTCATGCACCCTCATGTACAACCGTCGTGCACCTGTAAGAGCTAGCTGTGTGCAGCTCTGGTTCCCAGGAGCAGGACGCCTGTTAACTCCTAGAATGAAGCAAAGTTAAAGCAATATTTGTTTTTAAGAAAGATTTGGGGGACCAGCAGATGATGTAATGGGTATGTCACTGGATTCTGCAGTTGACTGTGATTTGAGTCCAGACCTGGCGTCCTTTTAAACTCAAGCCTGGCATGCGTGCGTGCGTGCCCAAACTCCCAAGAATGGAGGAGAAGGGATTGTGGCGTGCCACCCCCTTGTGGGGGTGATTTCTCGCATTCTGTCTCTGTCTCGCTGGTGAGCACATGGGCCCGATAGCAAAAACCTCTCTCAAAAGACAAGAAAAAGAAAGGATTTAGAAATCAGCTAAGGTCCCTTCTACCCACAACCTCTCGGCCCCGCTACCCACATACGGGGGCAGGGGGAGTGCAGGACCTGTCCATCCCTACCTTAGGAGTACCACCCTTGCAGAATTCAGTCGCTGGGGCCTGAGGGATGGCAGAGGGCCCCTCTCTCAGCCACTGGGGTAGAAGAGTGCCTGCCGACACTGAGCAGAGCCCTGAGGAAGGAGCCCCCAAGACAGGCTGAGCTCTGCAGAGCTCAGGGAGGGAGAGGCACCCAGAGACGGGGTGGGGCAGGCGAGGGACGGCCCTTTGCAAGCACTGCCCTGGAAGCGGCACCCAGAGACGGGGTGGAGCAGGTGAGGGACGGCCCTTTGCAAGCACTGCCCTGACAGCTGGGACCTGGCCAGGGGATCTGGTCTTCCCCACAGGTGGGAGAAGCACCGACTTGACAGGCCTGCTTCCCCTTGTGTGAAGTCAGTGTTAGGCGAGAAGCTGGGTGGCCCTGTGCGTCAGCCTCCCTACACCCTGCCTCTCTCCTAGAGAGGGCTCACAGACAGACCGGCACTCCAGGTTCGGGCACTCTGGCAGGCCCTTATGTACTTGCATGGCTCTGCCTGGCACTAATCATGACCACATGGCTCATGGAGGTGCGTGGCATTTTCCACTAGGGACATCCGAGAACCCAGCTTCCCGGGGTGAAGCATGGTCTAGACCGTCGGGAAACTATGTATGCATGTGTGTACACTTGCATGCATTTTTTACACCAGCACATATGTGTGTGCACCTGCACATGTGTGTACACTTGCATGTACGTGTGTGTACACCTTTGCGTGTGTGTGTGTGTGTAAGTATTTAGGATTTCTGTAAACTTGAACAGGAAATTACTGAAATGCCCTGTGGTGTGGGGGCAGGAGGGGAGGGCTGGACATCAGCCGTGCTGGGCTTTGGCTAGGTCGGCAGGGCGTGGCCGTCGTTCAGACAGC